TTCAACAAGATTTCCAAGTTTCTATCATCATTTTAGAAAAATACTCTTAATATCATATTATCCATCTTTAAATTTTATACGGGGTCATACGATATCCCAACTTATTCCAAGTAGTATGCTCTACAAAATTGTTCTCACATAAGACCAAAACTACAATGTCAATGTTCGAGACATCAAATGAAAATTAAGTCATCTATCTTTCATATCCTATTAGAGGTCATGAAGCGAACATTGTAATGGTTCATGTAGTTGGCAACATGAAGAGGGTTGAAATACATAATGTTTTACACTTTAAATGATAGAGAACTATAATTTTTAGCTAACCTAATTTTTTTTCTTATAATAAGTTCTTCTATGAATAAAATAATTTCTAAAGCTATAGTAAATCCTATAGAAATGGGGAAGCCATAGGCAAAAACTTACATACAACATTACAAACCAAACTACAAGTTGTTTACTCCACGTTCTATGGTAGTCGACTAAAGCAACAATTGTGGCATGCCAACTGCAATCCTTAATTGTCATTTTGCTATTGTATTGTCAATGCATAAGTGTAACATAATAAGCAAAGTTTGGAGGATATATATGTAAGAGAACTATGATTCATAGATTTCCATTGAAACAAGGAAGAAGGGTCAAGCGATAGAAGAGTTGAAGAGGGATAAAAAAAGATAGCATGTAAAGGTTTTGCCATCATAAATCTAAAAGAATTGGCGAGATCACAATAGCTCAATCAAAATGTCATAATGTAAAAAAACAAAGTCTCTGATCAAAAATTTGGATAAAGGGGCTGACTAATAAGTAGGGTTGAGAATATTTTCACCCCAAAATTATCCATCCTCACCTCATGTAACATTTCAATTTGTTTTAAAATTGAGTCACTATTCCCACCCCATTATTTACCCTCATCTATTAAATCCCTAATCACACATTCTTCATCTTAGTCCCAAAACTCACTCTCTCTCTCTCTCTCAAATGCAAAAAAAACTAATAGTGAGATGTTCAACTTTTGTCCTCTTATGCACTATAATCAGTGTCTCTCTATTTCCCGTATTTTAGTTAAAGTGATTTGATTTACATTTGATAATGTGGAGCTATGAATGAGATTTCAATGTGTTGGGTGTACACTTTGATTTTTGAACTTTTTTTCAAAAAGAATTGACTCAAATCCAAAATGCAATTCTTATGCTTCGACATTTCGGAACAACTTCCTCTTGGCGAAAAACTACCTTTACAAATGCAACAACTTTTTATTCCACCACCAACCATTGTCATCATCAATTTAGTAATGATAATAAGATTAACAACACTATTGATCAGGAATTCTATTTGGATATGTACAAATATGGGTTGAGAATAAATATTTTGGGGGTAGGAATAACCCCACCCAATAGTAGTCGGACTACTCAGTACAAAAATAAAGTCATCTGATCAACTAAAATCTAAACATAATAATTGATGAGGGTGATAACAGTCGTGTGGTTGTTCTATAGTGGTGGGATATATGTGAACGAGGGGAGATGAAAAACAAAAGCAGAGATATTTGACTACTGAACTTTTTATTTATTTATTTGTAGAATTAGTAGTTAGTTTGGGAGCAAGGTTACGTTGTCCCATAGAGAGTAAATAAAGTAATTATGATATTTTGAATATTAACTTTATTCATGTCATCTTGTTTAATGTTGAAACTCTTAAGGAAACATTATTGTTGCATCTTGGATTTGCCGGAGAATTGTCGTGTCAACATTGAAATAAATCTAAACCAGCCACCACCTCGATATTAATATTTATAAATGTCGGGAAGTTACAATACGATAAATAATGAGAAGTAATAAATAATATGAGAAGTTGGATGAATATATAAATGATCAATGCTAATTAAACCTAATTTATTAATTTAATTTATTGATGTAATCACTTAGACTTGAACCAAAATCTAGAATTTATTGGTAGCGATAAAAAAACAAATGGAGACAAGGATCCCGGAATGTCTTCCCAACTAATCTGTTTGTTATAATAATATAAAAATAAATTCAATATTTAAAAGAAAAAACAGAGAAAAAGGCCCTCCCACCTAATCTTTTGTAGTATATCCATGTGTGGCGGATAGGTTTGATATATTTCACTCTTTTTTATTTTTTTTCCAAATAAATATAATTTTTCAATAATGACAGGGTGGCCAATTAAATAAGGCATTTCTCTCTCTCTCCAAAAATTTCACTGTCACAATTTCCCTCCTATTTTTAACACCTGAGGGTGGTGAATGCTATGATGCGCCAGGTGGTCACTACACTGCGGGCTAGACATTCGGATCCACCCGTGGGGCTGTAAAAATCCCGTGATTGACTCTTTGCTCTCTTGTGACCCGACACTAAAACGAGGACGTTTAAAACTTTGGAACACCCCCCCCTATCGCCCGGCGTACATTAGCATCCCACTCTGCTACTGCGGCTGCTGCTTCTGGCTTATAGTTTCTAGTTTCTAGTTTCCTACCAGCTCTCAGTTATCGCCTCTAAAAAGTCGATGAGAGAGAAAATCTGATACCGGTAAAATGTGAATCTGGAATTCTGACGATTTGGAAGCCAGAGATTTGGGTTTGACTGTTGTTGGACTTTTGACGATTGATTGATTGATCCAACCCCAATTCCAAAAAGGTTCTCTCACTTCCTCTTTTCGCTTTTGATTCTCCTTCCACTCTCTCTCTCTCTCTCTCTTTCTCTCTGTACATTTCTGTCTCTCGTTTTCTAGTTGAACACACCGTCACATTATAGTTTCAGGTATTGCGAATTGTAATTTTGTCGATCTGCAGTGTTGATATGATAGAAATGCGTTTTTTCTTCGGTGAGTTTAACTTGAACGCACTCCAATTTCACTGAAGATCAGGGTTTTTCTTTCTTTCTTTTTTTGTTTTACTCGCCAATTTTAGTCCACATTTGTTTTCCAATTTTAAACTGTGGGGTTCTGTCATGATTTCATGGACGAGGTTCTCTTTTTTCTTTATTTTTTTGGGTTTTTTTCCCTGGTGTTTGGTGTCTGTCCGTTTGAATTGGAAATGTGTTTGCTAGATATCATGTAATTATGTGTTTATTTTTTGGGGGACCTGATGCTGTACAGGGTTTATTTACTTGGGAGTTCTGATGAAAGTGGGATTTAATGAAAATAAATGTGATTGAGTAATACTACACGAATAAGATTTCTGTAAAGAAGTTCAAGTACGGAATGATGTGGTCTCCCAAGCTTCATTTCCTTTTCAAACAAAAGGGTATAATATTAATGTCCTTTTATTTACAAAATAACAATTCCACTTGTCAGGTCATTCTGTATGGAAAACTTGCTACAAATTGTACCCACATGAAAAATTGAGCCCAGGTTGCATCAAAGTTTGGAAATTTTAGTAAGTGGTTTGTATCATTTAAGCCTGTCTGAACTTGGGCTAACATTAGTGAAAAAAATGTGGGGGTATGGTGAGAACCAAGTAAAAGTTTGCTAACGATATGGTTGAAGTTTTAATATGTATTTTAATTGGCCTTGCCATTAAAGAATTGTTGTAATCAATCGTACCCACTGTTTGACTATACATGAGTTTGATAATATTTTCCTTTTCTGTGAAAGCATTTGTTGTTTTAATTTTGCGTTACCAAACTCCTTGAATGAGGTGGCGTGTCGAGTCCATAGACTTGTCACATTCTTTCTGTTTTTGTTATTCTTGGCCTAAATCTGACCCCTTTTGCATCATTTGCCTTTAAAAGATCAAGTGTTGTGCTGGTGCATGTATGTTTGTGTGAGGATAGTGTGGCTTTGATTGTAGTGCTAGACCATGTGTGTTGGTGTGAGAATAGCGCGGGTTTCTGAGACTATAAAAAAACCCCGAGTTTGGTAGCTTTACGTCGTAGGGTGAAAACTGGGGAGGGGAACATGGGAAGATTGCATTGGCAATTTTGAGACCAAAAGAAACTCGTTGCCTTAAAGTGATTGATTTGAAGGAGCAAGGGTTTTCCATTTTGATGCTATTTTACTGAGGTTGGTCAATATAGTGTCCATACATCTTTGCTTTTGCATTCCTAGGGGTTCATGTGAAGGTATTGTCCATATTGAGTAAATCTAGACATAACACTTACAGTTGGATGTCATCTAATAACAAAATTTGCAGTAGACTTCGGGGCTTTGTTCTCTAAACTTAATACTTGACTTTGCCATTATTATTTGTTGTTTTGATCAGTAACATTGATAGTCTAGACTGTGTTCTCCGTTGCAGTTTTTTTGTTGGTGTGATTCCTACATGCGCTATATTACTAGCTTTCTCGTTTATGCTATTCGGTGTCTTATTTTGATATTCGAACATGTATGAAATGGAAGTTTCTTACGGGGGTTGCCTTTTTGTATTTCTGATCTAACGGTGGAAGTTAGCTTGGTTGGTGGCTTATTCATCATAAAACTTCAACTCTATGCTTGAAGGGTGGAAAGAAAGGCAATGAGGGAAAATATTTATTTATTTCCTTCTCTTGTTTGGTTCCACATTTTGTTTGGGATAAAAGTTCACATATGAAAGGGAAACACAGAAAAATTATTCAATCATTTTCTCAATTTGTTTTCCCTTTGTATTTCTCCTGCGGTCCTATCCTTTTCTTCCCTTCAAACAGAGCCATTGATCAAGACTGAGAACATTACTGAAGAAATGTATATCTAATTCACTTCCTTTTTTTCCCCTAGTGACACATTCTTGCTTTGATCTAGTTGACTTTGTTTATGATCTAAGTTTTTATTTTTTGATATTGTCTGTAAGGTTTGTTTTCTTTTTCGGTATTATGGTTCTCCATAGCATTGAATTAGGAGCATGTATTATTCTACAATCTTATGATCAATATCAACTGCCGCATTATGTTCATAGTATACTTTCTTTAACTGCTAAGTAAATTTGCATAGCAGAAGGACAACATGAAATTCAAATTCTAAAGTCTTTTGGCAGATTTGAAGTTGGTACATTTAAAGTGGCTATCATCATGGGTGTCTCAGGAAAATGGATTAAAGCATTGGTTGGTTTAAAGAAACCAGAAAAGTCGCAATCTTCTGAGAAAGATGAAAATGTGGGTAATTTTCCAATTAATTCCAGTTTTTACTTCCTTTATTGTGAACAAATGTGGTTGTCCTATGCATGTTTCTACTTAAAAAGGAAAAGCTCATCCTATATCTGTCAGTATATGCCCTGAAATATTTTATTCTCTCTCTCTCTCTCTGAATGTTAATAAAAAAAAATAAAATTTGTGCAGTCCAGCTTGCGAAAATTCAGCAACTTATCACCAACAGTACATCTTGGGGAAAAATCCCAAAGCACCCCTAAAATAATTACTTCAATCTAAAAAACCCGACAATTCCCTTGCTTATCTGAAATCCCCACAGAGTTTAATAACAGGAAGTCCAATTGCTAAGGCACATTGATAGTTTCTTCCTTTCTTAAGCAAAACAGCAAAAGTAGCCTTTTTTTTGCATACAAAAGTTTTTTGCAAAAGTAAAAAGTACTTTATTAAAGGAGAAAATCTGCATGTATAGTAAGTAGTACACTTGTAGACATAAGTGTATTACTTGCATATTAAAGTCTGTAGACTCTGTACACATCACGTTTGAAAGATAGTTGCAGTATTGGTTACGTTCTATACTGGTACAAGGTTATACCCCAGTTAAACGGTGGGATTTTTCTTGACATCCGTAATGGTCGTTACGGTGGCGTAACAGCCTATAACAAGTGTTACATCCCCATTACACCACCGTAGCATCTGTTACGGCTTCACAGAAACCATAGACCTTGTTGCAATAAGAAAAGAAAACAGAGAAGAAGGGTGGACTGTTCAGATCTCTTCTGAAAGGAGAAGTAGAAGAAGGGATTTGGGGAAAAAGAGGTGTGGATCTGGTCAGATTTATGGAATTAAAATGAAATTATTTTCTAAAAAAAAAAAAAAATTCTCTCCTCTTTGTATGTTCTTCTTTATCTTCAAGCTATTGAACATTTCAATTTTTTTTGAGAAAATTTTGGATTTTTTTAGCAGCGTTCTGGGAGTTGCAGAAAACTTGAAATGCCTAGTTTGGTAATCTAAAATTGTGAAAAAGAAGAAGTGGAGACAATTGGGTGTGACACACTTAAACCAGGCTTTAGATATGAGGCTTTGTAATTGGTTGGATTTCTCAAATATTTTTTAAGTTCCATCAGTGATCTCCATGTGGGATACCAGATTCGGAAAAATTTCACCAAAACATGTTGTAATAGGGGAAGGTGTCGGCCCATTCCTCATTTACCACCTGTCTCTGGACTCTTGGAAATAAGACACGTCTACGATTTTATATTGTTACTTGCACTATTCTTTGTTATACTTCGCTTAGACTACAGATCAATTTAACTGATCACAGTGAAAAAAACTATTATGACACACATAAAATTAGTCTTTGATTGATTTAGAAATTCAAACATAACACATTTATTGTTTAGGATGAATTGTGAGTGCAAAGAAAAAATTCATGCTTCTGATTTTTGTTTCCATTCCATATTGCCTGTTCCAACCCGCATCCGTTACTCTGCAACCATTACTGTTACGACGGCCATTAACATTATTTAAGACCATGGCTCTATTGGCCTCAGGTTACATCACATGATTTCGTAGTTATCCATAAGAGAAGTCAATGAAACAAAATACTGTCATTGAGTGTCCCACATGAAGAATTTTGGACAGTGCGCAGGTGCAAAATTTTGATCTCTTTCACATGGTCAGATGTTCATGATACCAGTTGTAAATTGGCTATTGGAAAATGGTAGTTACATTCCCAGGATATTTGAAAATGTTTAAGATGCCCTTTTTTTTATGACTGCTTGTATTTTCATCTCCCAAAGGTTCATCCTTTTGTCCTTGTTACATGCCAACCTGAATTGATTATTTAGTTGGCATGCACATTTCATCTCATGTTTTCTATGCACTGCAGAGGCTGGCGAGCACTGGAAAGTTTTGGCACCGGAGAAAACATTCTGTTGAGATTGATACTAACATACTTGAAGATGAGCTCAATCATAACACAGCTAAACCAATTGATGAAACCAGCATTTATTCAATTCCAGTTGTTTCTGGCTCTCCTTCTAGTTCAGTTCAAGTGCAGGATGCAGCTCAAAGTGAACAGAATATGAGAGAAGAATGGGCAGCCATACGTATCCAGACTGCTTTTCGAGGATTTTTGGTACTAAATTGTTTTACTCCGTGTTTTACCTTGTCACTTCTGCCCGTTGAGTTATCTTCTTTTTTTTTTTTGTGACCTAGAGTTTTTGAACTTCTCGCATGCCGAAGTTCATTTGTTGACATTATAGCCAAGACACCTCTTATTTTGGACTGTGCAATCTTATTTTTCTGAAGTAATATGGTGAAACTGTAGACTTGTATGGATGCTTTGGCATGCTACCCAAGAACACAGGTGCATGGTTAATGACAGTGACCAACCTGCTAAATTGCAACTATTTATCTGCATGATTACATATACAGTTCATAATTTTGTTTACTTTCATTTTTTATGAGATGATTATTGAACATTGTAATTCTTTGAATTCACAAACTCTGCTGATATTTGTAGGCTTGATGCATGGCGATGGTTAAATAGAGACATTTTAACATTGAGGTTGATTCTCAACAATTAACCAGTGACTCATGGAACAAAATTTAATTCTAGATATTTAAGGTAAATTTGTGCACCGTTTGACAGATATAAGACACTGAAAAAAGAAAGGAAAAATTGCAAAGCTTTACTGTGTTGTCTTTGGAGTAGCTGCTGAAAGATTTCTAGTTCTCTCTTTCTATGAATCAATCACCAAATTTCAAACTCATAAAATCCAACATCAATTGATCCAACTTTGAATATTGTACTTCAGGTCTGGCTCATAGATTCTGAATAATTAAAAAGCTTCAAGAATCAGGCGTAAGTCATCAAGTTGTCAAACATAATTGAGGCGTTTAGAACATGGAAACTTGTAAATTACTTGAATGGGTGGCCTCAACAAGTTTGATGAATATCAGTGAAAGCCTATAAGCATTAAAATCTAATCTCCATATATTTATGTTTCCAAATCAGTCAGATCAGACTTAATTTTTTGTATCATTAAATTTATTGTGCTCAAGACGTAAGTACTAGGCAGGGCACTTGTGCATCTATGTTGTGTCTTGCATGAAATAATTGCCGGACAGTTTTTTGATACTTGTGCATCTTAGGGTTCAGAAATATGAACAAAAATTAGTCCGTGACTGAAGGGATATAGGAGGAATTTTTAGTTGTATTCTGTACGGTAGAATAACAGATATAACTTCAGGATGGTGCAATCTACAACAACTTATTTATTCATTTTATGTTGGAATTTGCAAACACGATCATTACCAAATGAATAAGCTTTGGATAAACAATGCTGAGCTGGATTCTGGCCTAAGCAAAAAAGATTGCTGTTTAGGAAGTAGATAAACAGTCACCAATCCTCATAAAATGTTTGTTGAATTCAACAGAGTCTGATTCTTTTGGTTCAGTGGACCTTATTGGTAGATTTTGGAAACATATTAAGCAAGTAATCCTTACATAAACAAAGCCTAATCTATCTATGATTAAACATGATTCAATCTTCTGGTAAAGAAAGTTACAAACAATAATGAAAAATCTTATTTGGACTAAATGTCTTGGTATATCAGAAAAAAAAAAAAGATGTCTAAACTGACATAAACTATTCGAAATAAGAACTATTTGTTGAAGAAAACTTTGGGAAATCAGGGAAAGGACCTGACTAATCCCCCACAGCATTAATTAAAGCTTGTATGTTACCCAAATTCTCTCTATGTAGCTTGTAAGTACAAAGAATGTCAAAGGAACCCTTTGTTTCCCATTTCTCGTGCATATGCTCTGTAGTGGCGGTTGTGAAGGGGATTGTGCTGTACCATTTGTTCACTTGCAAAGATACGTGTGGTCTTTGAGCCTTCATAGAATTTGTAGCAGCCTCAAATGTAACCTCAACAGTGGCTGATTTTTCCAGTGGATTTGTAGATGGGCTCTAGGAAGATGGACAGTTGAGGTATGATGGAAAGCATCTGTGAAGAATCATGGGGGGGGATATGCCTTCATAGTTGTAGCCTTTGTGGTATTCCTTTTTGCTATTTTCTTTATTTTTTCCTCCTCTTCTTGGCTGGTGAAAAAGGTCCTGTTTGACTGGCTTTTTTTTTTCCTTCTCTTTGTTATTCCTTGTATAGGTAATGCATTTTTCCCTTATAAAGCAATTATGGATCATATTTTTTTCCCCTACACACAACTTCACTTTTACATTTTCTTTGGGGGAGGGGTTTGTACTTGTTGCTTATGTGCATGTTCTTTGGACCTCCTTCCCAAAACGTAATGTGGGACACTGAATACCTTTACTTGGTAGAGCAACTTGTTAGTCCCCTGTTTTTTAATTGATTTTGTTAATGTCATTTTAGTTCGTTATTGCTTTGCTGTGCAGTAAAATTTCCTTGAATTTATTCAATGCTGAAATGTCTAAAAAGTATACATCCAATTTGGCAGCTTCAACATGTAATGAGTATGAGTTAGATATTAGCAAGGAGAATTTAGTCAACCAAATGCAGCAATATTCTGCAACATGTAGAAGTAATATATGTCTTCACAATTATGCATGTACAGAAGTACCTGTACACATTTCCAGAAGTCATCAAGATAAACCAAAAATTTCTTAAGCCTCATATTAAGAGGCAAGTCAATATCACAATTTTATTCTGGATTAGAACACATCGAAGCTTTTGTTTATCACTTGTAGTTTGAAAGCCTTTTTTGGAGTTATTTTTATCTTCCAGTAAATATCTGTAAACTCTGTATATCATGCACCTTGTTAAATAAAAAGGATATCTTTTTCTTTTTTTTTGGTGATAATTTTCAGGCCAAGCGTGCTCTACGTGCTTTGAAAGGATTGGTAAGACTTCAAGCCCTTGTCAGGGGTCATGCTGTGAGAAAGCAAGCTGCAATAACTCTTCGTTGTATGCAAGCTTTAGTGAGAGTTCAGGCTCGTGTCCGAGCTAGGCGAGTCCGTCTGGCGTTAGAAAGTGAAACAGCACAACATAAACATCAGCAACTTGAACATGAGGCCCGTGTTCGAGAAATAGAGGTAAAATACCTTCTATCAGTTAAGATACTTTCTTCCAGTGGTATTGCTGATATAAATATATGACCAGAAACTTGAACTGATACAATGGTTGTAGTGTCAACTGGTCTAGTTTTCTGGTTGTTTGTCAACCTGTGGTTTGCATGTATAAAATGATGAAGTTAAAGTTATGTGTGAGGGTACTTTATTAAAACTATTAATTCAGATAATTAGAGTACTAAACTCTAGTTTTGTTTGTTTGTTGCATCGAGCCTTTGACTTGTTTTATCGTCCAACTTATTTATCTTGTGTCTTGCAACTTTTATCTAACTTGTTTTTCAGGTTGTATGCAAGGATCGAAATATCGTGTCGAAACATCCGAAATGTTTCGGATTTTAAATACACCAACATGAAACATGGGTGAAAACCAAAAATTCTTGAGTTTTGAGCAAAATGTCATTGTTTCGCACCGTTTTGACCAAAACGGTGATGTTTCGGTTGAAACAGTGCGAGATAGAGATGGAGTGATAGGGAGATTGAGAGCACCCTCAAAAATCGAAAGGAGAAAAGTTCAGCAGCATACTTCCCAGAGTGCAGTTTTAAGCAGCCTCCTCCAGGTATGAGCTTCTTTCTTTCTCTTCTTTTTAGTCTGTTTTTCTTCCTTCTTCTTTGTTGGGTCTTCATCGAGTCTAGTTCTCGGTCTGATCTACAGATCTAGGATGGGTATTACACCCTTTTTCTCTCAGATCTGGGATGGGGATGGGGAGGCTTATGGGTCCTTTGTCTCACGTTTTGTTGAGATATGAGAAGAGGTCTGTTTTAACCCTTCCCCCTCTTTTTATCTTGGTATATTATTTTTGTCATATGTTTTTGTTGGAGATATAGCATCAGCCTAGTTTGTTAGGGCTTATTAAGTTTTTTCTTTTTACCTTTTTATCCTTATTGTAACTTTCATTGGCTATATATATACGGGGCTCTACACTTAGTTTGTATCCCTTTTCACTCATATCTATCTCAAGTTGGTATCAAAGCAAAACAGAAACGCTAGCCTTAACCCTAACCCTAACCTCCACCATTGACTCCGCCATAGTCAGCAGCCTCCACTCCACCGTCCTTGGCAGCCAACCATTCAGCGACATCAACGAGCAAACCAAACCAGCTAAAAATTCAGACCACCCAACTGCCAACAACACTCCCACTGCCAAAAATTCACTCCACCGTCCTCGGCAAACAACCTGCCCAGCGAAACCACCCAACTGCTCAACAATTCAGACCACCTAGGCAGCACCGAACCACACCAAAGTGCTCAACAATTCATACCATAGCCAGCAAACACCAAGAAAACACTTACCACCAAAACATTCCAACAACGAAAACATGCCCACCAATTGCCTTCTAGTAAACAAACACCGAACATTATTTGTCGTTCCAAAACCCAAGCAAAATCAACACAAAACAATACAAACTGCCATCACCATCTCAATAAACCAAAGCCCAAAGCCCAAACAAGTCTAAAACCCAATCAGCCCAAACGAACCTAAACATCCCAACTAGCCCAGTACCCACTTCAGCCTAGTACCCAATCAGCCCAGTACCCACTTCAGCCAACCAGCCCACTGCCGGATCGCGCTCTTTCTCGTAGTTTCGTGTTTTACCTTTGTGCGCCATGTTATTTGTCGTAGTGTTGCCCGCCACTACTCTCTTTTTCCACCCTTTTAAGAGGGGTTGAATCCTCTTCTCCGTTAATATGCTCTTAATGCAGTAGATCATTTATTTATATTTATTGGATTTCTGGGCACCGTGACCTGATTAATTGGGAGCTTTCTGGACCTTCTTTATCTGTTGCTACTGTTCGACTGGAGGTATATTATTCTCCTTTATTGTCTCTCTATTTATCTTAGAGTTGTTTTTATATCACGAGTGCCCTAGTATTATTGATGATATGACTACTATTGAGGGAGTTGAGACCCCTATCGTTGAGACATTTGTTAGTACTTCCATCGGGTATAGGGGTCGACAGTGCTCGGCCCAACGCCGTCAAGGTACCCCACATCAGCGTAGATATGGAGATTCTCGTCAATGTGATTATTGTTGCCGACTAGGACATCTCAGGGCTACTTGTTGGAAGCTCCATCCGGAGCTTAAGCCGCCTTCTCGTAGTCGTACTGCTGCCATTGGTAAGGCACCACCACCTACAGTCATTGCACTTGCTACTACTGCTACTGTTCCTCCTTGGAAGAGTGATATGGATGGTATCACTTATCGCTTGGATATACTTATGTCAGTCTTGACTTCTCGAGGTCCGACTACTATTGCTGCGACTACTACAGGAATACCTCGTGCCTTTCATACTTGCGCCGGTCCGTCCCCCCTTTGGATGCTGGACTCGGGTGCTAATGGTCATATGACAGGTGAGGGCCATCATTTCACCTCTTTTGACGAGAAGTTACATACTCAAGTTCAGTTAGCAGATGGTACACATGCCCCTATTGTTAGTAGGGGTACAGTCCGTCTCTCAGATGGTTTTACATTACGTTCGGTGTTTCATGCGCCAAAGCTGGCCATGAATCTACTATCTGTACATCAGTTAGCCAGAGATTTTCACTGTGCAGTTGTGTTCTTATCTGATTCGTGTTATTTACAGGACCTGAGTACCAGAAGGATTATTATCAGGGGACATGAGAGAGGTGGACTGTATTATTTAGGCGATCCACCTCTGGTTTTACCAGTTTCTCTACCTCTACCTCCATCACCTACTTTGTCTTTATCTGTTCTTAGCTTGCATGCTAGTATTTTACCTAGTACTTGTCGTTATGATTTTTCGTCACAAACTGTTCAATTGTGGCATGACCGTTTTGGGCATACAAATTTTAAATATTTATGTATGTTATTTTCTACTTTGAGCAAAGCTTGTGTTAGTGGTAAACTTGATTGTGTTATATGTTCCCTATCAAAACATATTAGGACCAGTTATATTCTTCGCATGCACTAGTCACCCAAATTATTTGACCTAATACACTCTGATATTTGGGGACCCTCTTTGTTATTGCTCTATTAGGTGCCCGATACTATGTGATTTTTATAGATGATCATACCCGTTTTACTTAGGTGTACCTTTTGCATAGGAAGTCTGATGTACTCCCTATAATCACTCAGTTTCTGCAGATGATTAAGACACAATTCGATGTCATTGTTCGTGCTCTTCGTTCAGATAATGCCAAGGAATATGTGTCTGATGCCTTAGTGTCTCACCTTTCTTCTCAAGTTATCCTTCAGCAACTCACTTGTCCATATACTCCAGAGTAAAATGGCGTTGATGAAAGGAAAAATAGGAGTCTGATAGAGTTGGTACATTGTATGCTTAGAGGCATAGGGGTGCCAAAATCTTATTGGCATTTTGTTGTTTTGACTTTTACCTTTCTGTGCAATCGTACGCCGAGTCAAGTTCTTCAGCATAGGGCTCCCTTATAGGTTTTATTTTCTGAGCGAACACTTTTTTGGGTCTCTCCTCGTGTTTTTGGATGCACATGTTTTGTTCAAAATCGGTCTCCTACTCGTCATAAACTTGATAATAAAACAATTCGTTGTGTCTTTGTGGGCTATTACAATCAATCTAAGGGGTATCGGTGTTATGATCCTGTTACGCGCTGTATGTATCACAGTCTAGATGTTACTTTTCTTAAACATATTCCTTATTTTTCTTCCAGTCTTGTGTTTGCACCTCCAGTTGATGATACTTCCTTTGATTTTCCATTACTCCCGGAGTCAAAGTCATTGGTCACTATCACTACAAAGTCATCGGTCTCTACTCCTCCAGAGCCACTCATCCCTGGTATAGAGTCACCAGACTCTCTTCCTTTGCAGGTTTATGTTCGTCGCCCTCGTTCTCATCCCCCTGCTGATGTTCCCTCTACCTCAGGCGATGCAGGTAATACTCTTCAATTTGTTGAGCATATTGATGCCCCTGTTGTTAGTACTGATGAGATTGCAGGTACTGAGCCAGTTGTTTTACCTGATGAGACATTGTCAGTGGAGGATGATGATTTAGAGCGTCATTATCCACGGTGTGATTGCCGTCCAATTGATCGTTATGGTTGGACCGCCAGAATTTTATATCCGATCTCTGCTTATGTTTCTTATGGTGATTTGTCTCTTACATTTCGAGCTTATAGTATGGCCTTATCAGATACGCCGGTTCTTCGCTCTGTTTCGGAGGCTATGCGGGAGCCCTAGTGGGTTCTTGCCATGCAGACGAAGATGGATGCTCTTCAGCGTAATCATACATGGGATCTTGTCTCTTTATCTTCAGGGGTGAAGCCTGTTGGCTGTCGCTAAGTTTACACCCTAAATTTTTTTGCAGATGGTACTATTGATCGTCATAAGGCTAGGCTTGTGGCGAATGACTTTACTCAGGTATCAGGTCGTGATTTTGGTGCTACATTTGCCCCCTTGACAAAATTGACTACTATTCGGTTGGTTATTTCTCTGGCTGCAGATTACTCTTGGCCTCTTCATCAGTTAGATGTGAAGAATGCGTTTCTTCACGGTGATTTGGACGAGATTATTTATATGGATGCACCACCAAGCTTTCGTGGTGAGGGGGAGTATGTTAGAAAGGTATGTCGACTGCGTAAGTCTCTTTATGGACTGAAATAGTCATCACGAGCCTAGTTCTCTCGCTTTAGTGATGTAGTCGTACGTTTAGGGTTCACTAGATGTCATTCTGATCATACCTACTTTATTCGGTGGAATATTTCTGGATAGTGTGTTATCCTTTTTGTATATGTTGTGATATTATTATTACTGGGGATGATATTTCTAGGACAGCGCAGGTCAAGGTAGATCTTGGGAAGGTTTTCGATGTGAAGAACCTTGGATTTCTGCGATATTTTCTTGGGATTGAGGTTGCCCGTAGCAGCACTGGTGTTGTTCTTTCTCAAGAAAGTATGTTCTGGATCTTCTTTCAAATATTGGGATGCTGGGGTACAAACCGGTATCATCACCCATGATTTCAAACCTGAAGCTGACTGCTGAAAGTGAGGAGTTGAGAGATCCGACTGTCTATCAGAGGTTGGTAGGTAGACTTATCTACCTAGCTAACACTAGGCCAGACATTTCATTTGCTGTCAGTCGAGTTAGTCAGTTCATGCACAGGCCGTGTCAGCCTCATCTTGATGCAGTTTATCATATTCTTCGATACCTCAAGTCTTGTCCTGGACTTGGGTTATTCTATGCATCAGGATCTCAGACTGGTTCTCTAGCATGTTATTCAAATTCAGATTATGGGGAGTATGTGATGGTCGATCTACTACGGGCTTCTGTGCTTTTCGAGGGACTCATCTTATCTCTTGGAAGAGCAAGAAGTAATCAGTTGTCTCTTACTTGTCAGCAGAGGCAGAGTATTGGGCACTGGCACTTGGCACATGTGAGATTATCTGGCTATGATCGATTTTTGGCGAGTTGGAATTTTTAGTAACTTCTTCATCTACATTATATTGTGATAATCGATCTGCTATTCAACTCGTTTCTGACTCTGTATTACACGAGAGGACAAAGCATATAGAGATCGATGTTCACTTTTTTTGAGAGAAGGTTAGTAGTGGTATTGTCACTCTATC